GGGAAAGGGGCAATGACAGAGTGGCCTTTCCCTGCTAACACTCCAGATTCTAGTCATCGACATTTAGGGGGCTTTCTGAAGAGGTTGCAGCTGGACCTGTGCTTAGATGCCATCAGCTGGTCTAGAAACCTCCCTGAACACATAGTTTTGTCCTTCCAGACATCCTGTGCTAATAATTTCCACAATTTGTTTAGCCACAGCATGGCAAACACGGTCTTTCTGAGGCCAGAACAGTGTTTTCTGTTCTCTCTGTGCCTTTCCTAATGCATTCCTGTTGTCTAGCTCCCTCCTTGACCACTGCAGAACACAAAGCTGATCTTTGGAGAGAACTTTTCACAGGAATTGCAAAATCTTTTTCCTGTGAGCTATTTTACAGCTTGTCATTGCATATGGGTAGTTAGGCTTACTCCTTCCCCTGTGAATTCCTCTGTACTTATTGACATTGATTTTCATCTGCCATTTTATCACTCAGTCATTCAGCATCCAGCCAGACAAGAAAGCTCCAAATTTGGATTCCTTTAGCACCTATTTTTTACTTAAAAGGGTTTTTTCCCCCCTTTTTTCCCCTAAGTAGAGCTACATGTGGAATGCAATCATTTTTAGCAAACGCACCGTGTCCCAGTAGTTATTTGCAGTGTGACATTGTGCTGTCACCTCCTCACACTACGAGGTCCTGACATTTGAAGCAAATGTCATTGCATCACAACTTTCTATCAGCACATCTCACTGGTGTGATGCACATGGTGCTACAAGCCCTTGTTTCTTATGGGATCTCCAACTATCCAAGAGGAGCCAGCATGATTTCATAATGTATGTATTTCATATCTCAGAGCTTTAAAGTTTGGATCTGCAACGCTACTTGGGTAGTGGCAGCAGATGTTTTCTCTCAGTAACTGTGAGATTGAACTTCAAGCTGTATGCTGAAAATCTTTAATTCCCTTATGTTCCTATGGAAACATGAGAGGAGCCTTCTGGCAAAGCAAGCCAAGGACTTTGGCTTTTACATGCGTATCATGTGAATTACCCATTTCTGTGCCCGTTTGCAGGAGCCAGCTCCCAGCACTGGAACTATGCCATTTTCAGAAATGAAACAGAAAGGTCCAATCTAACATCTACAATCTGCTGCAAAGAAACCATGAGATGCTTCTTTCCCTCTCTGCAGAAGTCATCCATCCAAAGACACTTGTCTGTGGGAGAACAGGGCTCCTCTCCATAATTAGATTTGATTCCAAGACAATCAGCTAAAGTCACGAAGGGATTGGAGAAGTTGCCGTGTGAGGGGCATGTGCAAATGGGAATTTAGGACTCTGGCATGTGCAAATGGGAATCGAGGGCTTTGACAGACTGAAAACTCTGTTACCCTGTGGAACTTCCTAAGAAATGCAAGGTAATTGAGATTGCTTAGTCTCCGTGAAAGAGGCATAAGCAGAGAAATGCTCTGCGATAAGAACACATGCACATGCCATTGCCCTGGAGCAGGATGATAAGTGGTAACTTTGCTATCCCACTTCAACTTATTCTGGTGTGCAAGCTCTTTGTCTAAGCTGGAACGCAAAATAAAGTTGTGCTCTATCAATTTATCAGAGCTGGCTTGAGAGCCAAAGTACGTACAGGTTATTATTGCTGTAGCTGATTAATCAGACCAGCCATCAGACTTCAGCATGGAACACCGTGAGCAACTGTCAGCACACACTTCTGATAAGTCCAATCCAATACATATGGAACTAGCTAAGAGAGAAAATTCTGCCTCATTTAAAATCACATTATCCAGCCTGCCACCCTTCACTAGCTTTTGGCCTGTCACACAGACTAATGGACAGGCGCCCTGAAAAACACTCATTGTGAACCTAGGAATGGGTAAGAGCCTCTTGTGTGTGACAAAAGCCAATTAAGATCAACTAAACCTTCTATTACACCTCTTCCAAAGAGGTACATCTACCATATTGCTTGAACAGCTCAGTTGTATTCCTGGCTGTCAAGCAAACACCAACAAACCTTAAGAACTTGCCATTCGGCAGGCAAAATAATTAGAGGAGCAGTAACCTTGAAGAGCAGACGGCAGTGACAGGTGACATGTGCCAGTATCCTGGATGAGTCATTGAACAGGGCATCAGCTGGGGCACAATGCTGACAGATCTCATGGCAGGTGAAGACAACTTCCAGAAAGCCATGGATGCCAGTGAGATATTGATGCTTATACCGCCAGATCCCTCTGCAGCTTTTGACAAAGTTCTAAGAACAACTGTTGTGTTTATATTGTATAGCGAGAATAAATGGCCACCACTGCTGTGGCTTCTCCTGTAGAGTTCAGATGTGCAACAGGTACCTGCTGCTCCTCTTCAAGGTTCTTGTTTCATGGTCCTGCAAAGATCAGCCCTATCTTGGCATGAATTAAACACAGGTATTGGAATGTAGGACTAGAAGCAATCTTCTGGGTCATTTAGTCCTGTCATCCATTATCTCAGCAATCCTGCCATATAATCCCCTCCAAAATTAATGAACTTCATCTTAAAAGCAGCAAGTAATTTTTTCCTCGCTGCTCTAGAGGCCATTCTGAAACCTCACTGCTCTGATGGTCAAATACCCAATCCAGGTCAAAACTGTGCCCTTCAGACAGGGAGATGCTGCAAAGAACTAAGGAAAAATGCTGGTTTTACCTCCTAGCAAAAATACATAGCTCCCATTCAACTCAGTGGTCTGAAACATCAGTTCCCTGACTCCTAATTGACTTTGAATCAACAGGTTGCAACTCTGAATCCCTTCCTTTACCTCAGCTCAACAAAGTTTGTTCTTTCTGTCAAACAATGATGTAGTCCTGAGGTTTTCTTGCCATTACTTCCAGGCTAGATTATCTTCTGTAGATTTCTGTATGACCAAATATGATATTTTTTTCCACCTATCATCCACCTCTGTGGCTTCCAGCCCATGCAATAGTTACAGTGCTGGCTGAAGGCCATGATTTTAATTACCAAAGCAATCAGGGGATTAGTCCCTGCTACATGACAGTCTAAAATTTTTGATCTGTGAACTGCTGCATCTGTACTTCACAGCATAGCTCACAGTGGATGAAGACTGAGGGTAAATGTTTCAAACAAGGGGATCTGGCTGTAAAACAGCGTTTTGGAGAAACACAAGATCTGATCACTTCTCAGAAACATTCTCAAACCTTTCTATCTGAAACAGATTTTCCATCATTTCTGTCACCATGATGACAGCCAAAAAAACATTATAGTGAGGATTCATCTCACCAACTTTATCTGTCTACAGTATAAATGTTTCCTTTGGAGCTATTTGCTGTAGTCTCCTTTTATAGTCAATGGGGAGGAAAAGGTGCTTCTAGATGGATTTGCATAATCTCTTGTGGATATCTGCTTTAGGGTGATGTGAATTGCACCCTAGAAGTGGGTATTTCTCTCCACTGATTGGAAAAGCTCCAGATACTTGCTGGGATGCACAATGCAGATGTCTGCTTTTTGCCAAGTGATTCCTACCCTGCTAGCGAAAGAAACCAAACAGGAAGATCCTAATATTCATACATTCATATATTCCAAGCAGAATTTTCACTTGCATAGAAAAGGGTGTTACAGGCTTCTACATTCTTTTACTGTTCCGTTACATTCTTTGAGTGTCTTGAAGACACTCAAATATTATGCTGAGCAGCATTCTGCCACCGTAGGGTAGGTGAGATGGATGACTCTATTAGTATCTGTGGAGTTATTTTTAATTTATACTAGCATAAAAGAGAGGTGAATGGGACCCTTAACTTCTTATTCCTGCCTTAGTCATGGACTTTTTCTGTGACCTTGTGAAAATTGCTTTATCTGTTATTTTCCCGATATGTAAAATTAAGATGATCACACTCACAGGCTGCTATGAGGTCTAATTAGTAAGTGTAAAGCACCATGAAATGCTCTGATGGAAGATGCAGAGTATAGCTAGCCTGGGATAAAAAGTATTAAAGGAGGTTGTGCTAACATAACAAATACTTGAAAAATGATACTTAGGGGAAAGTGAAATGGCACATATCTGCAGGTGAGGAAACGAGAATCAGCAGTCTGTAACTGTTGGCAGCAGACCTCAAACCCACTGACAGGAGTATGTCTACAAAGGAGGTTTGGACAATGAAACAGTGTTCAGAAGCAGGTGAAATACTATAGATTGGTAGGATTATCCTAGGAAAAACCCTTCCACATTTATCCGTATGAAATTTGAGTGACTGGATGGATCTTTCACAGCTTTTCTCATTGCCGTTTCTGAAAGATTCACCAGTGTAACATTTTCATGTGCATGGCTTAATATTCATACCATGAGCAATAACACCATGTTTCTGAACATGCAAGACCTGTAGTTATTAGAAAACCTTTTCCCTTCAGTGGTTCACTGAATGCCATGCCCTTTTCCAGAAGCGAGCAGGGATTTCTAAATTGCATCATGTGCCCATTGGAAGTGCCTTCGGTGGAATGGTGCCAGTTTAAAGCTCCTGATAACCAGGACTCCCACATGTCCAACGTTCAATCTTATCCCTTCTGAATGCCATAAAACACATTACTCCCAACCAAACCAGCGGTCTTACTGTTGTATGAGCATCAAACCAGACATCGCCTTCCATTCATCTCATAATTGTTTGGTTGCCGTTCCTTTCTGACCGTCTTGCTTTTTCTCTCCCCAGGCATCACTGTGGACAAGTTTGGGCTGATTTACTTTGTGGATGGTACTATGATCAGGCGGATTGATCAGAATGGGATCATCTCAACTGTGTTGGGTTCCAATGATTTGACATCTGCTCGGCCTCTCAGCTGTGACTCTGTCATGGACATTTCTCAGGTAAGACAATGTTTTGGTTGGGTTTCTATAGAATAGAAGCCTATGCCTTCATCCTATCCACGTCTGTGTGCCTCCCCAGGTTTGACAAAGAGGTAGGGGCTCAAGAAGAATTACATCTCTACATATTTTGTGGTATGAAAATGACTGGTTCATAAAGAAAGATCCTATAAAGACTGAAGGAAAGACCTAACTGACCTAACTTGGAGACCTCTGGGAAGAGAGATTTTAAAGATGTCCCAGGCACAGAAGAGACTCCTTTCAGAGCTCCTGAACCGCTGAGAGAAACACATTCCTGGGAAGATAGGTTTCATTAGGCTCATTTCTCAAGACACTAGTTGTTTTAATCTAAAAGGCCAGGTAGCCATACTCATTTTAGTAGGGCTATATGCCATGGTCTATTATAACAACTTAGCTAACCGTGGGTTTTTTCGTTACCTCCCCCCATCCTAATTTGGGCCAGCACAATTTTAGACCTGAATCAAATTAACATCTAGGAAATACTGATTGGAGGCTGTGGTGCCAAAATTAGCAACAGCAGGAAAACAAGAATCTTGAATTGCATCAGACTGCAAATTGGTTGCAGCTACCACCATGCTGGGCTTTTAAGTCCTGCTGCTTAAAGGTGGAGAGGAAAAAAAGAGAGAAAAAGAAATCTCAGTTTGATGATTGCTTTACTTCTGGATGGTGCAGAAGAGAAATCTGTTACAGCCCAGCACTTGATTTTGTGGGGCACTGGCCAACCTGTCAGATTGTGCCAGCTTAGAGATAGTGTCCTTTGAAACCTTTGTGCCGCTTCTTGTTTGCCTGGCTACAGAAATGTTGCCCTCTCCTATGGAAACATAGATCATAGCTGGAGGGCTAAGTACTGTTATTCAGCCACAATAGATGTCAATGGGGTTTCCTTTTTGTAACTACCTAGATAATTTCCGTGCTCCCATATGGAATCTGTTGTTCTTGTTTTTCCCTCTAATTTGAAAAGATTATTCTTGCTTCTTTGCAACTGGTTCCCACTGTCCTCAATTTATGAACAAGCTGAAATTATGAGTTTAAAAGCTCTCATGACTTCTATAGAAGCAAATTTTGCTGGTTAAAGGCCATCTTGTAGTATGTTTCTCATCTTACAGGCTTGGTTTCTTCTTTATCCGAATTTCAGAGGCAGTTACCACAAGACCATTGTGGATTCAGGCTTTAAAAATCATTTTCTTGCAGGTTACGCGGCTTGTGTGTATACCAATATCATATTTAAACACTTCTGAGATGAGCTAAAATGTATCAGCTGAAGACTCTTCCTTTCCCTTCATAAAATGACAGCAGCCATTTTTAGATTAACCTGTACTGTGATGGGCAGATTAACCAGTACTGTTCTGGACAGACACACCAAGACAAGTTTAATTTAAAAAAAAAAAACAAACAACCCAAACCAGGCAAAGAAAACCCAGCTTGGGAAGTGGCTTTTCATCATTTACAGTGGCTAGGAGGGTCTTTTCTGTCAGGTGCCTGAGGCTCCCTGGGACATGAGGACATGAAATATTTAGCTGCCAATGTTGACAAGGAATGGTTTTTAAGAAATTGAAAATTCCCTTGTCACTTCAGAATAAACTCTGCTCTTGATGCTAACTCAAGGCTGCGGAGCTTAAAGACCACTGGAAGGGATGGAGGCATGCATTATTAAAGAGAAAACCACAGGCTATAATGTTTTACTACAGGAAGGGTTAAAATAGGCCAGGAGCTGAGAAAAGGAAGGAGATATTGCAAACAGAGAATCAGACTAGGCAGAGCTCAGCACACTGCTTAGCCATGAAAATAAACTTCACAAAGCCCAGCCATTAGAAGGCACAATGAACCAAATA